TCATTATCCCCAGAAGAATTGGATTCGATGTGAATTCAAAGCCATGCACAGAATCTTTTCTGTCCTATACAATTAATAAGGTTTGTTAAATATTTGGCTCAACCAGAAGTATAGACAATATCAAGTCAACATGAGCTTAACGCATACAACAGACGAATTTTGAGCAGTTCAGAAACTTATACGGCACCACAGATTAACGTGACTGAAGAGGTTATCGAAAAAGGGAGAGAATCTTGTACAAAACCCCTTCCCTCAGACTGGCAAGTCTGTTCTCGGTCAACCGAGCGAGTTATTGAACAATAAATCATAAAAGAAGTCCATCATTGTAATCAGAACACACTTATTCGGCTTTCATTATCATTTTCAGAGTCCCACAACACAAATTCAAGGTTGTTCGATTCAAACATGAGTCACGACCGAGGCAGCTGTTAGCCGCTTGCTAAAGCCAGAATTGTGTGCGTAAAAATCACTTGTCTAGACACTCAAGCTTCCGTGGCTCAAAGTGGAAAATATCATACATGTGCGTAGCAACGACCACAAGCAATCACCAATACCTAAATAACCCACTGTTAAGTGAACATAAGAACTAGAAACAAACTTCCCCCCGTTACACTTTTTTTCTATCCTCAGTTGACCTCGGCTCTTCATCTCCTGTTAATAAATGCCGTTTATGAGATTTGATGTTCTTCATATGGTAAAGGTTGGTCAGAGTGAGGGAATTTTATGGAAAATCATTTACATTTCTAGTGCATAATGATTCCAAATATCCTAACTGTCGTTTTTCTTCAATGAATGTGGTGTATATTAAGGTTAAACAAATACCGTAGATAAATTCACGAAGTCGCACGCTTGTGAATTAATGACAAATGCTCCTGCTGAAAGTATTTCTAAATTCAAAGGAGCTTATTTATCTCTAAAATCTTAGTATAATTCCACTTAGTTTCTTGTTGTCCAACTTCTACCGGCTTCTTGTTTATCCCTCAGTGGCAACAAGGAGATCCACATAGCAAAAGCGTCTGAACGCTCCTACCATATGAGTAACACTAAACTATTATATTCATTGTTTCACATCGTTACGGGATTCCGTAGGCTATGACAGGTCTACGGCTAGTGGAGCTGTCTCCTACCCAGAGTATCCCTACGATGCGGACGGGATAGCAATCACTTAGGTGGTTAACTGTTAATACGCTAGCGTTACTTCACGGAATAATCGGTCGCAGACTAACAGCGATGATGAGAGTACACAGCGAGCTTTTACTTGAAAAGCAACCTCTGTAACAAAAATTGATGTACGAAGAAGGCATCACGACGTGCACCAACTGAGCATGCAACTAAAGAAGTCCATCCCAC